TAGCCGCAAATACCGGTACGTCTTTCACGTAGGACGCTATGTACCGGTACGAGTCATGAACCACAGTTTCTCCGTATACCCGTAATCTCGCACATGTCATTGACATAAATGTGACCTAGTGCTTTTTGGGCTGTTCCATAATCCCCTAACTTTCATCATGGGTTAGATATTCTTCATACAAGGTATTGTACTTATTGAGGTGACAGCAAACATACTTTGCCTCACCTTGAGTTTGTTACTTTACATATGTTTGGGTGATGCACATTGTGCATTTCTGTGTGCATGAACATGCGAAAGGTACCGTCTCCCCCCCCCTTCTTTTTGCCCCAAAATGCGAAGGTGCATGCTTGATGCAAGAGCTCTCCCAGGCTTGCTAAGTCAGTTGTACCTGCAAACAATTGCTATCTCCTTCTACTAGATTGTCTGCAGCTATGGCACATCTGCGTGACATGTGCGCTGTTTGCCATCGCTCATCAACGGAATTCTACAACTTGAATTTCCTCGTCCTTGAGGCAGCAAATTCCCACAATAACAGATTTTGTCGACGTCACTTTGGGGATCGTGCAGGCATGGCTGCACACACAGAAGTTTGCTTTTCATGCTCTAACTACATTTGCCCACGCACACCCAAAGACGAGACTGCTCCATGTTGGTCCTATGCGTGGCCTGCTGTGTTGTGGACATGTCTTAGCAAACAGCAGAATGCTGATGCTGTAGCATTCAGCAAATTCCTCCCGCATGAACTTCGTGCTAGTTGGAATCTATCAGCTAATGAATGGTTGCCTGCAATACGAGAGGCACTACAATTTGATCCGGACTTTCAGGATGTCACCAGTCTACATCGCACATTTCAAGACGATATTTCCAGTGGTGAACTCACACGCCTTATGAAAGCTTTAAATGACACATGTTTTCCGCAGGTACGCTGTCCAATGGGCTGTTACATGTATCTGGACGATACAGTTGGCGACAAGTTGCAGCTATTGCCAGCTGCTCATTATCTAGCTACAATCATACCAGCCTTTTCAGCATTTCATGCCGAGTCCCACTATTTCCAGGGAGCAAGACAGGACTGGACTTGTCCCATTACAGACCTGTCTTGGAAGATAGCTCCCTCACTCATTGTAGACAAAGAACATGGCCTGTGCATTTTAATGTGTTCTACAAAAAAGCACTGCGATGGCAGAACACCATTTTTCCATGTCCCTACAAATCCCGTCGTTCATTGGACTGCACCCCAGGCTCCAGACTACCTTGCACCAGCTGTCGTCACTGGCAATGTCGTACGTAGCGGCACATCAAACACGTACAATACTTCATTTCCTGTTTTCGAGCAACGAGGCAGATGCTCGTCGAGAAGTGAAACGATTGTCAGCACTGTTGCGATCAGAGGGTGCATGGGACTATTTTGTGACACTCACCTGCAACGATAGTGCTACAATGGGTGTTTGGCCAATTCGAGCAGCCATTGAACAGCAATCTGATTTCCTCAACCGAGACGCCATGCTACAAAACTATGCGGTCATCATGTGTCGAGCTTGGGAGAGAACAAGTCGCTATGTCAGGAACTACATCCAGTACAGCCCTGAGCGACCACTTGGACATGTGAAGACTGCATGGATGAGGTATGAATTCCAGAGTAGTGGAGCACTGGGAAATCGACCACATATTCATGGCGGCATAACTTTGCATCCAGAAAGCGACGACGTCTCACTGAAACGCATCAGATGCTCTCTTAGAGACATGTTCTCGGTTACAGCACACACTGATATGGAGACGTTGATGACACGCGGACTTGTTAAAGACGAAGAAGATTTCTCTCGCCTCCACCATCTAGCAAGCCAGCTTCAAACCCATAGTTGCACACGTGCTGCAGGTCGATGCCAGAAGCGAGCTGCAGATGATTCAATGATTTGTCGTGTCCAGAAACATCCTGCAAGCTTCAACTACAGGTTTCACAAAAAAGAACAGCTCTATGATCCTGAAACAATGCAGAGACTACAGTATCTGGACCTCGGTGTAACCGACCCACTGACACATGAATGGAGACCAGCGCACAAATTTCGTGGTGGCAGATGGGAATACCCTGCTCAACCTGGTGAACACTTTGTTCCAACTGTGCCAATACTGTTCATTGCTCTGCAAGCTTGCACGATGTCCAGTACTGTGATCGCAAGTTCCAGGTTGCCTACTTGGCTAAATATGCAGCAGGGTTAGATGAGAAGCGCCAGGTGACATTCTCTTTGTCTCGCAACGATTCACAAACTGTAAATAAGCGAACCACCAAATTTTTGTGCAGGTCCACCAACTTTCTGATGTGTTCTGCTGTCAGCTAGATTTTCAGCCGAAATTCGATCACTGCGGTGCTGGGCTCGACAAACCCGCTTGCCCGATGGCCCGGGGCAACCAAAATTCGCCCCCGGGCAAGTAGCTTGAAATTGCACTTGCCTGTTCGGGCAAGCATGTTTTTTTTATTGAATGGCTAGACAACAATATTTTTGTTAGTTTGGTTTCCACCCGTCCCTTGTATTGTTTTGCACAGACATAAGCTGCATTGCTACGACAAAATTTGAATGAAAAAAATAATGTGAATGAGACAATCAGTGCATGCAGTCATACATTGTACACAACATGCATACAGCAACATGTAAACCCGGCCTCCGTGATTTTGTCACCATTAATACATTATGAATGATTGTTGACCTCGTCGATTTCGCCAAAGCATTATCTTGACTTTCGT